ATTTGCTGCGTCTGTTGAATGCGTGAAAATGTACATCTACACATTGCAAATTCAGGGAACTAATAAGGCTTTAAAGAGCAGATTTTTCTTTATTAAAGGGAGCAGATGTTTAGCTTATCTCATTTTTTCTTATACATTATTGCGAACAAATCTTCTATTGTATTGTTTAAAATTTCTTGATACTCTGATGTTGTCTTTAATGCGGCGAAGTCAGGGAATTTCATGATTTTATTGGGAGCTTTAAGGTATTAAAATCAATTTTTCCTTTTTAAACGGATTAATCTGATGTTTCTAGGTTTTCAAGTTTCTTACGAAGGAATTTCTCACTAGTTTTCCATTACTTTTCTAAGCGTAATAAACGCCAGAAAATTGACATTTTCAGTACCTTTTCAGGGATTAACGTGCAGATGTTTCTCTATTAAACGAGTTTAAGTCTAGGTTTTTAATGATTTGCTGTTTCGATAAGCCCAAACCAAATTTTCCGTGCAAATAGTGCGAATGTTTCTCTACTCAATAAGCTCACATTTCTTACTTTGTTTAGTCTTTTACTCACAAGTTTTGGAAAGCTAAAAGTTCACTTTGTTTAAGTTAATTGACAGTGGTTTTCTTCAAAGCATGAGAAATCAAGGAAACTCGCAATTCCTTTGACACTCATGATCAATTGAGAAAAAATTTGGTTTCCTGACTGTTTCTAGGATGTTTTACTTTGTTGCTGTTTTTACTTGAGCGAATATTTATGCAAATAACTCCTGGGCATGATTTTTTTTTTCTACTAGTCACTGGCTGTTAATGTCTGAAAAATGTCTCCAGAAACATGAGGAAATTGTTGCTTTGTTAGTTTTTCTTTAAAGATAAATGGATATGTTTCTCCACGCAATGAGCAATCGGCATTTTTTAGCTCCTGCAGTGTTTGGCTCGTACATTCTGGAAAAAGATCCATTTTGTACCAATCTATTAGTTGCTTGTTTTCAATGCATGAGAAACCAGGGAAAATGGTAATTTCCAAGTATTTTTCAGATATTATTGAACTGTAAAAAGCGAATGTTTGGCTACTCAATAAACTAACCCCATTACTTGTTTGTTTTGTGGGTGTGTACTTTGATTAGTTTTTTACTCAAAATTTTTGGAAAATTGTTACTATGAAACTTAAGTGGCAGTCGGGCTTTCCAAAGCATGAGAAATGAAGGAAAATCGTAATTTATTCAGGGATTGGATCAGGAATTTTTGGACAAAAAGTTTCCAAAAATTTAGAGCAATTTTAAAGAATTTTTCAGGGATTGGAGAGTCTAGTCTTCGTTATTTTTGAAAACTGTGTCCACTGAGCTCTTGTCGATTTGCAGTTTCGGTTTCTGAGGCGTTTAAAATCAGGACAACTAGCGATTTTGTTGGCATTATGGGAATTAATAGAGTAGAATGTATCTTTCGCCAGTGAATTCTTCTAAATCTGTGATTTTTGAATTAAAAATTTTCCGAACTAACGAGTCCACTGTGTTCTAGTTGATCAGCAGCTTGGAAGTTGAATCCTGGAAAAATGAAAGAAAGTTGAAATTTCTGTGAACTATTAACGGGGCTAACGAGCAGGTCTCGATATTCTCCAGGTTTCTATTTATGAATAAAAAAAAAGGTTTTCCGGCAAGTCAATTGGTATTGCGATACTGTTTTTAATCCGTAAAAATTCTGAAAAAATCGCATATTTGTTGCTATAGAAGGCGATTTTTTAGTGCTGTCAGTTGTGGGTTAAGTTTGGCTTGGGAAGTTAAAGGTCGTATTTTCCATGAATTTTCTTTCATTACGCTCATGCTGTTATTGAAGACACCGGTAATTGCAAGAGTGAAAAAATCAAAAGAAAAAGATGCTCACAGGAGATTAATCTAGCTCTTCGTAACTGGAAAAATCCTGAAAACTCCCAGAAAGTTCCTAGTAACGTGAGTTTTTCCACACTTAAAATAGCGCATTTTGTCTTTCGAGTGATATTATGGTCCGGATTGTGGGATTTTTGGGTTTTTGTCCTCGTCTTAGTAGGCCAAAAAATACTGGAAAATGTTAGACATTTCCTATTAAAGTCGGTTTTTCTTCACTTAAAAGCGCGGACTTTCTCTTTCGAGTGATCTTATGAGCCGCATTCAGGAATTTTTGGATTTTCTTGGCGAATTTTTGAAAAATTCGTGTTGTTCAACGACCGATCGCTTCGATTTAGTGTCTGAAAAAAAAATCGTGAAAACTCCCAGAAATTTCCTATTAAAGTCGGGTTCTCCTCATCCAAAGCCGAAGATTTTTTCTTTCGAGTGAGATTCTGGGCAGCCTTGAGAAATTTTTCGTTTTTCCTTGACAATTTTTTTAAAAACTTGTCATCTGTCCCAACGGCCAATCGCTTCCCCTTAGTAAGTGAAAAAGATCCTGGAAACTCCCAGATATTTTCTAATCAAGTGAGTTTTTCGTCTCTTAAAGCAGCCGATTTTCTCTTTCGAGTTATGTTATGAATTTTTGAAAAATCCGTGTTGTCCAACGACCAATCGCTTCTCAGAAAAAATTCTGAAAACTTCGAGAAATTTCCTATTAAAGTGGTCGTTTTCCTCATTCAAAGTCACATATTTTCTCTTTCGAATAATATTCTGGGCAGACTTGAGAGATTTCTGGTTTTTCTTTCGCAATTTTTTTAAAACTTGTCTATTTGTACCAACGGCTAATCGCTTTCCCTTAGTAACAGAAAGCAGCCGATTTTCTCTTTCGAGTGGGGTTATGGGTCGCAGTCGGAAATTTTTTGTTTTTTTTTGGCGAATTTTTGAAAAATCCGTGCTGTCCCGCAATCAATAGCTTCCATTAAGTCTGAAAAAATCCTGAAAACTCCCAGAAATTTTCTAATCAAGTGAGTTTTTCCTTACTTAAAGCAGCCGATTTTCTCTTTCGAGTGATATTCTGGGCAGCGTTGAGAACTTTTTCGTTTTTGCTTGACAATTCTTTTTTAAACTCGTCTATCTGTACCAACGGCCAGTCGACTCTCCTTAGTAACTGAAAAAATCGTGGATACTTCCAGAAATTTCCTATAAAACTGAGTGAAAAGAGTCAGTTAGAGTGGATTTTATTCAATTAAAGGAAGCAATGAGTAGGCGGATGGCTTTTTTGGTTTTCTCCCTAGGGATTTTTTATAAGGAAATTATTATGCTTTAGTTGAATCGCTGCTTCTGTTCTTCATGCAATATCAATCGACATATCAAGAAAAGGGGCGATTTTTTTTGAATTTTGAGAGCAAATAGAGCGAACGTTTCTCTATTCAGTAAACCAACCGCATTTTTTTCGGTTTGCCAGTTTTTGACTCACGAGTTTTTTTTTATGTAGAGACAAATGGGTTTTTAAAACGCGAAAAATTAGGGAAAAATTGCAGTTTTAGGTGCACTTGCAAGATAAATAGAGCAATTGTGTTATATTGAAAGCATTAACTGCGCGGTGGGTTTATTTTAATCGAAGGTGATAGAAAAAATCAAGACCCCAAATTTAGATTGCTTACAGGAAAAAGTGTTTGATACGGAATTTAACACGCAAAACTGATCAAACATGCACCCAAATTCAAATCAGCAGTTTGTTTTAAACAAATACGAAATTTAGTCAGAAAAATGAGTCCAAGTTCGTTTTGAATCAACTACACGGAAACCAGGAGAGAGAAACTGCCTGAGGTGATCCTGAGCGAAACAGTGGTGGTGTGGGACGCCACTGGAATAATCGCATCCTGCTGTCACCCGATAGGTGACATAATTATATGGGAGTAGGCCATGGGGAGCCTGTTAACCCCTCGGCTCGAGTACCGCTGATTTATGTGTAGTTCCCCGGAAATCGGATATGTCCGCTGATTAGCACCAGAGATGACGCAGCCAGAGTGTGCCCGCTGGCGCCCAGATCGTCATCTTTTCGCTGCCGGATCATATTTCATTCCGGGGGGCGCGGCCGAGGGCCTGGAAAGGGCACCGGAATTGTGTATTGGGGCCACGGAGCCATTCCGTAATCAGATTTGCTTTGTTTCGGTCGAAACCTCGAAGCACAAACAATTGATAAATGATCCTCCTGTCGGCTTATTCTTATAGGATAAAAGCCGGCTAGTTTCACGAATAATCGATATTAATAGTCCAGGGAATACGGGCGGCGTTTTTATTAGCTTTTCCTTTCTAAGCCCATTGGTACAGTCGACTTTGTCCAACTAATTAACATTGCTGAAGAGGAGTAAACAACGCAGTAAACATAGAACCAACCAGGCTGCGAGCAATAACAGGAATGACCAATCAAATGAGAGAGATACAAAGATGTTAGAAGAAAAATGGGATGGCATTAAACAGTTCCAAAGAAAACCGTCCAGAATTGCATACCAGGAGAGACAAAGCAGAAGAAACCGGCATGGATGACGGACGATGCTCTTAAATTAACGGAAGATAGGAAAAAGTATCGGAATAGAGTGTGGAGTAGCAAGTGGAAAAATAGAAAGCAATTCAGCAGAATATTTAACAGCGAATAAAGAAACCGAAAGGATCATGTGACGATCATGGGCTCGAAGAACTCGAGAGGAAGCATGGCAAACGAAAAAATGCAAAAAACTGCAAAGCGAACCATTTTTTTGAGTCTGTCCATATTTTCCACAAAAATAGCATGCAAAAGTTTTTCTGTGGTTTCATAAGATTTGAAATAACTTGGAAGATCAATAAAAACGAAAATCCAAAAAATAACTTTTTTCGAAATTTCTCAAAAATAAAAGAAATACTTGCTTTTTGAGCCCCTTGATTGCGCAACAATTTCCTAATTTAACCGACTTCGCCTGTCGATAATTTTTGTACTTGTTTGCTGTTGAGGAATCCAAAGCATCCATTTGCGCTCAGGACACGTCAAACAGCTTGGAAAATAAACCATCTTTACCACCAATAGTAACTCCGTTTGCGATGCAAGTTGGGAAGTCGTCGAGCATTTGCCTTGCTTCATTCTTTGACTGTTTACCTGTTTAAAAAGATTAATTGTTTCAGACTGTGATCGTCAGCATGCTGCTCCGCTACGCTCACCACCAGATATTCATTTTCATCGGTAAGTTTTGAATTTTTAAAACCATCTATCTAATCTCCACCCAGTTTCGAGCTATCGCTCCGAACTAAGATACTTATAGTTTGTCTTTGATATTGGATTCGCATTTGGGCGGCCAGTGTAACAAGTTCCGATGCGAAGAGGAAAGACGAGCGGTCAACATGTGGGTCTGCCGAAGCCCCGGGGACACTCGGCCCCTCTTTTCTTTGCCCTTATGGTATTTGCTGTATCAACTATAACCAGAAATATATAGAAAGAGTCAACCGCAGAAACGTATTATAAAGGACTGAGGCAGAGATTAAAGGAATATCCAGTGCGGAAAGTTACAAATCCAATCCGTTCCAATTTAACGCTATAAAATACTTAGGAGCGGCCAGTTGGGGGGCCGATTCTTAATGGGATTTTTAATGTTGTGCGTCTTGCATTGAAGATTTCTCCTCTTCATCTAGAGGAAACAATGCTTTTTTTCCACGGAAATTTTTGGGACCGATTGAGGGTTAATTTCTTACATGCAATTAGAGCGGAAACGTGTCAGATAACTTTAAAGCGGCGAAACTTTTCAAGTTTGAATTTGCGAAACTTATCCAAGATTGATGAAGCAACGGTAAAAAGGGTGAGCGCTTCGGCAAAGAGAAGGGGTTGTAAAGTTTTATCGAGTTTTGCAGGAAAACATCGCTGCTTTGCAGCACGCGGTTCTATTGCCGATCGAATCGGCATCGCTTTCCACTTGCCGATCCAGTTTGATTGATCCTCTGGGTTGTAATCGGGGCAAATTGCTGGAGTTTCATAGTTTTAATGCGATTTTTCCTAAGTTTAGTGTTCAATTTGCTGCTTCTGGTTTAAATGCGTGATAAATGCGGGAGATTTTGCTATTTTAGAAGCACTTTTAGAGTTTATAGGGTCCGATTTTGGCGCTTGACCGAGCTGATCGAAGGTGTCTGATTTTTCGGTCAGTTAGGACTTTTTTTGAAATTTGGTCTTAATATTTTCCACCAAAAACCCCAAGAAAATCGCTTGAGACATTCAACGCAAAATTTAGCTGGGGACTGGAAAGTCGACGCTCTTGTTCGATGGCCGATTGTTCGTTTATTGTTTAGTTTTAAGTTAAAGAGAGTCGCAAATTTGGCAAACTTTTTAGGTACCTATTAAAGAGCCGGGTTTTCTCTACTAAAGGAGTTAATATACAAGCGTGTGCTTTTTCGGATTTTTTTTTCAAGTGTTCTCAAAAACTGGGTGTTTCTTGTGCTCTTGTGGATTTGCCGCTTCTGTTTTGGTTGCTTGAAAAATCAGCAAAAATTGCGCTTTTCTTGACGTTTTTAGGAGATAGAAAGGAACTTTTTCTCTATTGAACGACCGAACGGCTTGTTTTTATCTTTTCAAGTTTTTTTCTCAGGATTTTTAAGAAATGACGAATCTACTGTATTTTTGCTTACGGACGCTTTGGTTTTCAACGTCTGAAATTTTTTTTAGTTATTAGATAGTCGGGTTTCCTCTCTTAGAGAAGCTACTGTACAAGTCTCTATCGTTTTTGCTTTAGTCACAGGATGTTTTTAAAATAAAACTTTGGCTGTGCGTTTGTCGATTGCGTGAAAAATCAGAAAGTAGTGCGGTTTTGTTCGCACTTTTAGAATCAACCGAGGGAATTTGTTTACATTGAATGAGCAAAGGGCGTTTTTCTATCTTTTCTTTATTCCTCATACATTTTTGAATCTGCTGGAGTCTAGTTTATTCGTAAACATTTTTGAAAATAAAGGTTCCCTTCGACTTGATGGTCGCTTGGGGTTTCAATGTATAAAACTCGTAATTCTGGCGATCTTTTCAGGTATTAGAGTACTGATTTTTCAGTGTTTTCGAGTTTATTACTCAAGAATTATAGAAAATAAAGTGTTTCTGTATTTTAGTCGATTGGCAGCTTGTGTTTTCAAAGCCTAAAAACTTTGGAAAATTCACATTTTTGCCAAACATTTCAGGTATTAAAAAGACGCATTTTCTCTATTAACGAAACTAATGTGCAACTGTCTACTTTTTTGATTTTCCTCTCAAGAAATTTTGAAGACGGCCTGTTTTTGTGCTCTTGTCGGTTTGCAGCTACCGTTTTTAATCCATAAAAAAATTGGAAAATTGCGCTTTTATTGGTAGTTTTTTTCATTGTAGGTTGATCGACTGTTTGGGTTTTCTTTCAATGCGTGAAGAATTAGGAAAAAAAACATTATTTTGTTGAGCTTTTCAGACCATAGATATCCGAGTTTTCTCCATTAAGGGCACTAATATCCAGATGCCCATTTTTCTGATTTTTTCCTCAGGAATGTTCGCAATCAAGATATTCACTGTACTTCTGTCGATCTGCTAGTTGGGCTTTTACTGCGTGAAAAATCCGACAAAATTGCACCGTTATTGACACTTTTAGGATAAATAGGAAGAATTGTCTTTTGAATGACCAGGGCGCATTTTTCTATCTTTGCTGGTTTGTTAGTCTCGAATTTTTTAAAATCAAGGTTTAAAATCAAGGCGTTACCGTATTTTCGTTGACTGGCAGATTAAGTTTTTAATCGCTGAAAAATGAAGAAAAATCGAAATTTTTTGGAATTTTAACAATTAGCTAATACTGATGAGCTGTTTATTAAAATGAGCAGCCGCAAAAGAGTCTGGCTTTTTTAGTTTTCTTCCTAAAATTTTCTGAAATCGAAAGTTTGTCGCACTTTGATTCTTCTGCTTTCATTGCGAGAACAATCAGACAAAACAGCGCGTTTATTACCACTTAACACACAAAAATAGAGCAATTTTGCATGTCCGAACCGCATGTTTCTCTTGTTTCTCATCCATTTTTTTGAAAATAAAGAGTTCTAGAAACAAAATAATTTATTTTTCCAAAATATACGTTTCACTGTATTCCAGCTGATGAGCAGCTCGGGTTTTGAGTTTCTCAAAAATTATTTTTAAGAATTTTAAAGAATTTTTCTCGGTTAAAGAGTTGTCTAATACAAACGTCTATATTTTAAACTTTTGTTCTCAGTAATTAAAAAAAAATTTGTCGGTTTGCTGTTTCGGTTTTTAATGCGTAAAAATTCCGCTTTTATTGGCCGTTTTAGGGTAAATAAAGCACCCTCCATTGAACCGCATGTTTCTATCTTTTCGACTTCATTACAAACAAATTTTTGGAAAAATAGAGTTTATTGTAGGTACTTTAGTTGAGAACAATGGTTACAAACAAAAAAAAACCAACAAAACGTTGGTTTTCAATGTGGAAGAGTTAGGAAAAAAACGCAATTTTGGTGAGCGTTCCAGAGTACAGGGAGGCGAGTTTTCTCTATAAAATTCTTCATAATATTCGCGAACTTTTCAGTAATCTGCAAATCTCTCCCGTTTCTGATGTTCTTCTCAGGATTTCTTGAGAACAATGTGTCCAATGTGCTCTTGTCGATTTGTCGGAAAAGTTTTTTTTCCAAAAATCAGCAAAAATTGCGCTTTAGGATACATAGATCAAAGTTGTTTCTTTTGGGTAACCGCGTACCCCTAAATTTGTATTATTTTATTATATATATTTAATTTGGGAAAATTGCGAATGTGACAAACTTTGCAGGGATCAGAAAGTAACGAACTAATGAACAAATTTCTATTTTTCCCCATTTAATCTGAGAAAGTTTTGAAACTAAGTAGTCCGTTCATTATGCTCTCGTTCAATTGCCGATTGTGTGTTTATTTCATGAAAAATCAGGCAAAATTGCGTCTTAGGATATATAGAGCAAAGTTGTTTCTACTGAGTAACCGGATGTTTCTAAACTTTTAAATTTAATCCTTAAACATTTCGGAAAATAAAGATTCCACTGGATTCCACTTGATTGGCAGCTTCAATTTTAAATGCGTGAAAAATGAGGGAAAATCACTGTTGTGGCAATGTTTTCAGGGATCAGAAAGTAACGAACTAATAAACAAATGTCTATTTTTCCCCATTTTCATGTGAGAAACTTTTGAAACCAAGTCGTCCGTTCTCTACGCTCTTGTTCGATGGCCGATTGTGTTTTTATTGCATGAAAAATTACGCGTGTATTAGGAGTTTTGGACACAGATTCGTCTCTATTGGAAGCCCTATCTGCCTGTTTCTGTCTTTTTAAGATTTTTTCTAGTTGAATGCCAGCTTTGGTTATCATTGTCTAAAAAAGTTAAAAAGACCCGCAAATTTGGCTAAGTTTTCAGGTATTAATGAGCCAGGTTTTCTCTATTCGAGGAGTTAATATACAAAGGTTTACCGTTTCCGATTTTTTGTCAGGTGTTCTCAGAAACTGGGTGTTTCTTGTGCTCCTGTGGATTTGCCGCTTATGTTTTTATTACTTGAAAAATCAGCAAAAATTGCTCTTTTGTTGACGTTTTTAGGAGATGGAAAGCAGCTTCTTCTCTATTGAATGATGTGATCTTCTCAAGTTCTTTTCTCAGGATTTTCTACCGCATTTGCAATCAACAAATCTCTACCGTTTTTGCTTTCGTCAAAGGAATTTTTTAAAACAAAGCCTTGCTCTGTGCCGTTGTCGATTGTGCAAAAAATCAAAAAGTAGTGCGGTTTGGTAATTTTAAAATACGCACTTTTAAAATAAACCGAGCGAATTTGTCTTTATTGAATGAGCCAAGGGCGTTTTTCTACCTTTTCTTTATTCCTTAAGCATTTTTGAATCTGCTGAAATCTAGTTGATTGTTAGCTAGCGTTTTCAATGTCGCAATCTCTCCGGTACTCTGGTTTTCTTCTCAGACATTTTTCAAAACGGTTTTGCTCTGTGCTTTTGTCGGTTTGTTGCTTATGTTTTTATTGCGTGAAAAAAATTGTATGTTTTTTTGTCGATTTCTAGATGCATAAATTTCGCTTTTTTGATAATTCGGTCAAGTTGAGCGCTAGCGAACGACAAAACCGTATTTTTCCACATTTTTAAATTTACTCCTAAACATTTTTGAAATGAAATATTCCACTGTTTGGATTGATTGGCCGATTGAGCTTTCAAGGTGTAAAAGTCGTAACTTTGCCGAACTTTTCAGCTATTAGAGTACCGATTTTTCAGTATTTTCTAGTTTATTACTCAATAGTTGTTGAAAATAAAGTGTCTCTGTATTCTAGTTGATTGGCTGTTTGGGTTTTCAAGGCCTAACGACTTTCGAAAATTTATAATTTTCCCAAACATTTTAGGTCTTAAAAAGATACATTTTCTCTATTAAACATACTAATATACAATTGAAGAGTTTTTATTGCCCAAAAATTCTAAATAAAAGGGGGTTTTCGCGGCTACAGCGGACAAATAATTTTAGGATTTTAAATTTCTTTTCGGGAGCCAAAAGCAGTAAATTTTTCTGATTCAAAAAATTATTTGTCCGCCGTAGTCGCGAAAAATCCCTTTCTAATATGCAATGGTCTACTTTTTGAATTTTTTTCTCAAGAAATGTTGACCGTTTTAATGCGTAAAAAATTAGCAAAATTGCGCTTTTATTAGCACTTTTAGGGTAAATAAAGCAACCTTGACCTCATTGAACCGCATGTCTCTATCTTTTCTAGTTTATTGCTCACGAATTTTTGAAAAAATAGAGTCCATTATGAGTAGTTTAGATGATGACAATTTTGGGGTTTCTATGTGGAAGAATTACGAAAATAATTTTGGTGAGTTTTTCAGAGCATAGATAGCCGAGTTGTCTCTATTAAATTCTTCTTAATATTCGCGAACTCTTCCGGTATTAGAGAGTCGATTTTTCTATATAAAACGAGCTAATAGCGAATCTCTATCTTCTCTGATGTTCTTCTCAGAATTTTTTTGTAAAAAATGTGTCCATTGTGCTCTTGTCGATTTGCCGGATAGGATTTTTTTTCTAGAAAATGAGCAAAAATGTCTTTTTAGGATACATAGAGTAGGATACATACAATCTAAAATGATGAATAAAAATGAAAGTTTCGAAGTAAATTGAGAAGAGACCGTGACACATCTAAATCAACAGTGCGCTCAATATTCAATTGAAATTGAAATTAATTTTTGTTGTTAATTAGTTGAACTTTAAAGTTATTAAAGAATGGTTGCTACAAATCTGCTAATTTGTTTCTAGTCGATTTGCTGCAAATGTTGGAATTCAACATGCCAATCACTTTTCCGACTGCCCCTTTGCTGACGGTCATCCTGGCCCTAGTTGGTAAGTGATTTCTAGGCTTAAGCATGTTTTTCAAGGTCATTCAAGAAAATTGCGCTATTTTATGCGGTATGTGTGAAAAATTTTCAGATAAAGACAGTGTATGAGTCGTTTTCTTTGTCAGTGGTGTAAGTGATATTTAAGGTTTTGCCTCTGAAGTAATTTAGTACATTTGACAAACCGGAATTTACCGTAAACTCAGAATTTTTTGTTTCTCTTAAATGAGAAAGCTGTCATGCTTCTAGTGTACGGATTATGTGAAGGAAATGGGCGTATGAGTCAGAGTTAATAGTAACAAATATTCAAATGGCCGCCCATAAATTGGGCACCAAGATCACCCGATTTAACGCCGCTAGATTTTTCGTTTAAAGCTGTCCTAAGTCGGCTTAAAACCTAAGAGAGCTTAAATCTCTCCTAAAAAAATTATTCTCAATGCCGCAGATGATTTTAGAAGGAAGCCTGACACGATGCGCAGAGTTAAATAACTTAGTTCAGTTATTCAGAATCGAAATTTTTCCATGGTTCGTTCCGAATAATTTAAAATCTGAATTGCAAGGGATCTTAAATAATTATTTGAACAGAAACGGTTGGCCTGACCAAAAATTTACAAGGGGCAAAAAAGTTTCAAAAGAAACTCAGCTTGTAGCAGAGAAATAATGAAATTATTTGTATAGGGGGTACTAAAAATATAAACTTGTAGGAACTGTTGACTCAAAAATTAATGAAAATCGATTGGGCGTTCAGAGATTATTGCGCAAAAACGATATTTGCATTGATATGAATTTCAGAACTTCGGCGGCAAAATGAAGCAACATTGGATATAGGTAAGTTTGCCTAAATCGAGTCAAGATTTTGTGGTTGCGTTGTATAGTCATTTCAGGGACACCCTGTATACCACGAAAATTTGTAATGAAAATTTCAACAGATTTTTTGTAAAACGCTTATAAATCAAAACTTCACGGTAAATTGTATTGATTTCCATCAACTAATTTTTTGTCAAAATAAATTTGATGATTACAAAAAACTCGAAGCCATCAGGACAGGGGTTTTAATCAAGCGCCAACGCGTTTTTTCTTCTAATTAATTAAGCAAAATGTTTCTAGTTTCATCGTATTGGTCGGAAAGGAAAGTTATTCGAAAAGGAGAACCGTGCCCCGCATGTATGGCAACATAACAATAATATAAATACAAGAGGGTTTAGATCGAGGGCGGAAAAGATTTTCCTGCGGGATCAAAACCCACCTTTAAAACGTTACCGTTTTCTGTATTGTTCGGGGTTTTTGCCGGTGGTTACTCCTATTTTCCTTTTTAAAAGGGCATTACAGCGGTATCCCGTTTCTTTTGTTCAGGCGGGGTGGCCGTGGAATAAAGAGGCTTTGCCTCGATTCTTAAATAGCCGGAAAAATTGGATTTAGCACAAACAAACACACTACCTTCGCTTCCCAACACACGCAACTGGGATGGTTTCTTTTTTCGAAAAAATGAAGCCCCGCTAAGAGAATCCTCCCCATAGGAGCACGCAATTTTAGGAGTAAAGGCAAGAGTGCGCGCTCTATTGGTTACAAATTTGCAACTCGCAGACTGATGGCGATCCAAAGCTGCAAAGTTGAGCTTTAACCAAGGAAGCCTTAGCTCATAAGTGTGCAAAATTTCGTTGGATTTAAAGATCTTGCTCAATTTGTAAGATTTTTCAAAATTGAGCTCAAGCTCAAGTCGCAAAAGTTTGCTCATTCGCTTAAAAAAATCACAACTCTCAAACTGGATCAAATCTAACGATGAAAATTCGAGCATTTTTTAGAAAGTATTGTTTCTGAAGTGTGCGAAGTTTGGAGAGATTCAGAGCTCTGGATCAGTTTTTGTAATTTTTTGAAATTCCCCTCAAATTCAGTAATAAAAGCAAAAGTGTGCGTTTTTGGTTAAAAATTTGCAACTCGCGGACTGATGGCGAATTAAGGCTGAAAATTTTAACTTTAACCAAGGAAGTCTTAGCTCATAAGTGTGCAAAAGTTCGATAGATTCAAAAATCTTGTTCAATTTCTAAGGTTTTTTGGAATTGCGCTCGCATTCAGAAATAGTCGCAAAAATGCGCGCACTCTGTTGAAAATTCACAACTAACCAACTGGCTCAAATTTAATCCTGAAAATTGAAAGATGTCTTCAGAAAAGCTTATTTCTGAAGTGTGAAGAGACTCAGAGCTCTGGATCAGGTTTAGTAATTTTTTGAAATTGCGCCTAAATTCAGTAATAAAAGCAAAAGTGTGCGTTTTTGGTTAAAAATGTATAACACTCGAACTGATGCTGCGCTAAGGCTGCAATTTTGAACTTTAATCAACGAGCCTTAGCTCATAAGTGTGCAAAATTACGTTAGCTTCAAATATCTTGTTCAATTCCTAGTATTTTTTGAAATTGCGCTCACATTCAGAAACAGTTGCAAAAATGCGCGCATTTGGTTGAAAATTTACAACTCTCAAACTGGATCCAATATAAGCCTGAAAATTGGAACATGTTTTTATGAAAAGTGTGCGTTTTTGGTTAAAAATAGGCAACTCGTGGACTTATGGCGAGCTAAGGCTGCAATTTTGAACTTTAATCAAGGAAGACTTAGCTCATAAGTGTGCAAAATTTCGTTAGCTTCAAATATCTTGTTCAATTCCTAATATTTTTTGAAATTGCGCTCTCATTCAGAAACAGTTGCAAAAATGCGCGCATTTGGTTGAAAATTCAGAACTCTCAAACTGGATCCAATATAAGCCTGAAAATTGGAATATGTCTTAAGAAAGCCTTATTTCTGAAGTGTGCGAAGTTTGGATAGACTCAGAGCTCCGGATCAGTTTTTGTAATTTTTGAAATTACGCTCAAGTTCAATAATAAAAGCAAAAGTGCGCGTTTTCGGTTTAATAATTACAACTCGCCAACTGGAGCAGATCTGTATTTTTGCACATTTATCGAAGAATCCTTACTAATTCCACATGCAAATTTTCAATCGATTTGGAGCAGTGGTTGATTTCTGGGAAATTTTCGGATAGTCAGAAAAAATTAACGACTGAGTTTATGTAATTTATTCGACCACTTATCACATCTCCTGTTTGAATTTTTTTTTGCCAAGTGGCTTCAGGCGTGAAGTTAACGATATGTGGGCAGGGTGTGAAGCGATTGCCGGCTGGTGGCAGATTTAAAGCGATTGAAGCCGTTTTGCATTAAATGCGGCAACCTTTGACAGCTTTTTATTAAACTCATTATGCTCGAGATTTTAGATAGGGTTTGATGGCGAAGAGTTGACGCCACTCGTAGCCACCCTCAGCCACCCTCGAATATGCGCGAGCGAACTTGTAATTTTATTCAACCAGAAGCGGCCGCTCTTTCTCCGGTCTGATGATGGCGCGATTCTCGACACCATGAATACGAAATCTCGCCCACGACGCGCCCCGACGGCGACGACGCTCCGATCATAATAATGACCTGTCAAAGAGCAGCCTGAATGTTTTTGCGAAATTATAATTGAATCGGTTCCGGCATGTAATGGACAAGTTGACAAATACGTTCGGAGAGTGCGGACGTTATTTACTGGAAAGCATGCAAATGTCTTGACAATTACAACAGTTATAGTTATAGAGCAGGGGATGGTGTCGATTGCGTCTTCATGTCGCCCCATTACACCGCTCTGACTGTCCATATGGACTTGAGCAGCTAAATGAGTAGAGAGGAATGCGATCAAAATCAATACAAAGTTCGCCAGAAGGAAAAATTTCGACGCCTCTGAACTGGATTCGGAACAGGGTAGCGATAGCAACTGGTTGCTGTTGCTGCTGCCTCCGGCCCTTCGCTCTAAGGGATTCGCCCTTGTTGCAACTTTACCGTGTTGTGGCCGGCCGATCCGCCTCCAACCCTGTTGATTCTCGATTTTTTCCCCTGACATACTTGCGAACTGGATAGAACCGATCCAGATTCGTATTAGTTGAGAATTTGCGACGCTTGCTCGACATTGATCATGGAACTGGGGCAAATAACGGGAGAATTTCGCATAGTTGAACTGTTTGAGCTGGAGTCGAGCAAATCTTCGAGAGTCAGTTTGGTTGGGACTGGGCCTGAAAGTTGTCCTCAATTGGCTCACACTAACATACTGGAAAATCGCGTCTTTTCTTGAATGTTGTAGCATTCCTAAAAAAGCAATTCGGTTGGACTGGAGTAAACCTTCTAGGGACAGTTGCGCTAGTTTTAAAGTCAACGATGAGCGGAAATAGGACTAGGCCAGAAGAAACGTTTCAGACTCTTACTGTTGTTGCTCAAACGTGCAAGCTGGCCTGTTTCTGGCGGTGACAAAAATAATTTTTCCGGAATTTTTATGTTAAGCTAAGGATGCAATTTTGAGCTTTAACCTAGGAAGGCATGAGCTACGCCTTCGTGTCTTCAAAAGTGTGCAAAATTGCGTTTGATTCAAACATCTTGTTCAATTTGAAAGATTTTTCAAAATTGCGCTCCAGTTCAAGTCGCAAAAACGCTAACATAGTGGAAAATCGCGTGGTTTCGTAAAGGTTACAGCATTCCAAAAAAAAACAATCGTGTGGGACTAGAGTAAAACTTTTAAGGACATTGAGCCTGCAAAATTTCGTTAGAGAAGCCCCATTCGAAAAAAAGCCTGTTTTATCCAAAGTGATTTGGTAGCAATGAAAATTTCTGCAATCTTCAAAAGTGTGTCTTAAAATCCGCACTTGATGGAAACGAATTTGCCTGGCGTTTTCAAATGCTGCTGAGTTTCACTGTGCACTGGTCAACCAATAAAAAAGTCGGGGCTAGAAAACAAAAAAGTTACAAAGTTGAAAACTCGTTCTAAAGACTACCTACGATCCATGTGTGATCCATGAAATTGATTAAAATGAAAATCCATGGTCCATTCTAATAAAAGCCTGCTTTATGCCCTACTGCTGACTGAAAATCGGGACTTGGGTTTCGATTCTACAAGCCGTGGAAAGTATCTAAAAAGGAAAAAAAAAGACAATGTTCAAA